GATATATTAATCCTTATTGAAAATTGGAAAAATAAAGCTGTAACTTCTGTGAACCTATAAACTGGTTTATAGGTTTAGTGTTTTTAATTTTAATACTTATTTACATATTACTGAAATTCTACTTAATTACTCCTCCTATTGATGATAAAGGAATACAATAAATTGCACATTTTAAAACTATATTGTTATTTATTCTTTCTGGTTTTATTCTCTTAATTTCTAGGTGTTCAAACCATTTCTTAAATACTTATTACTTTCTTTTTTATTTTCTTGATTTTGCATATAGTATTGTTGCAGTGTTTTGCAACAATACTATATGCAAAATCAAGTCTGTAAATAATCTTATATTAATCAACTGTGTCACTTCCTATATGGTTAAAGTAAGTTGGAAAGTTGTTTCTTCTTTGTTCTTTTGATCAGTCATTTTTAGAAAACTATGCTTCCTATTTTTCAAAAAGTTATTTGTGCCTAATGAAGTTTTTCTTGCTGCTATCAATACCTTTTTTAATTTATAAAAAAATTGTTATTTTATATATTTAAGTAAAATGGTAAAAAAACTATTTTGAGCTCCTTTTTAAAAAATGCTAGTAATTTGTGCAACTTGTGAAGGTTTTAATATAACTGATACAGTCTGCTATATCACATGAATTTGACACACCTACTTTTGCGTATTAAATGTCGATTTTATCTTGTAACACTATTCTGGATAGTATTTATTTATAGCAGGTGGATTATATTAGTTTTTGTTTTAACAGTTATTAGCAACATATTTATAGCTTATTAGGATGACAATTATCCCATCATGTTTTTAACTGTGAAAATTCTTTGAAATGACATCATTGAAGATAGATGATAATTGCAGAAAATTTATCAGTTTTTAAGATAAAAATTTAAGTAGTAATGTATAATATCATTTACAGCACAGACTGAACATATAGAAAGTGCATATCGTCTTTAGTTCTCTTTTCTTCATATATATTTGGCAGTTTTGGGAAAATTACAATGATAGATGAATGTCTATTATGCACAAAGGATTTTCCACATTTTCTAAAGATGCTCTAGTGATTTTAGACAAAGGTAAATCTGTTTGATGAGATCATAATTGCAATTTAAATCAATATACAACCTGCACTTTCTTTCAAATTGTCTTTGAAACATAGATAACTTGTATGTTATCCACACAAGATTATAGTAATTCAGAAGTTTTCTAAATTAAATTAAACTTATAATAATAACATTTACAGGATTGAAGCTGTAATTCAAATTAAGTTGTTTGATCATTTATTACTTAGCCTTATACCCCTGAATGTAATCTAGCTTTAGGTGTTTGAATATATTTATATTATTGAATGCTACATGAAACTTTTTAAAATGTTAGCTTGGTTATTTTAATAGTAAAATAATTACTTAATCTTCTGAAAATGCCTTAAATTTTCTTATGATAGATTTTTATTTTTCATTTATTCAATAATTTTTGAAATTTATACAAAAAAATACAGTATTTATACTGTATTAAATTTATAAATGAATATGATTCAACTACACACCTATTAATCATACAAATATATTTTTATAAATATATTTGTCTAATTAAAAGCAGTTGTTTAGAGAGATAGTATGTTAATATAGGATATGCAGAATGTATGTGTTTGAAGGGTTTTCAGTTAGTTTTGAATATGTTTGCACCTCTATTAGTGAAAAAATAGCATGTGCTTTCAGTTACTACTGTGCATGTGATATTCTACAGTAATTCAAATTTCAAAATCAACAAAGAACATCTAAATATTTTTTCTTTGTTTCAGTATGTTCACCTCTAAACAGAAGTTGGTGATCTGAATTTTTTCCAAGCTTCCATTGTCATACAACCAAATTCAGAAGAGACTTTTGGAGGACTGCCTTCATGTTTTGAAGGTATGATCTCTAATGTTTTCAATATCAGAATTTCCCAGGAATTAAATCAGAAAGAAATTAAGAAAGAAAATTAACCAGTTCCAAAGAAATGAACTGCTACAGCTAAGATGTCATCAAAAACAAAGAATTCCATCATCATACCACCAAATCTTCTTATTCAAACAACACTGACAATGAAATGTTAAATGCCATTGTCATTCATTAATTACATCATTCACAAAGATCTGAACTTGGATATGCTGTATAAGACATATGTTCATAAGCTATCAGATTCTGACAAAAAGAATCACAGAACCAACACAAGAAAGTTACATGAAAGGCACTTGATAGGTAGAAGAAATAAATTTGCTGTTACTTTGGATTGAGGATTGGATGTACCTTAATTATAATGGAACTGCAAAATTTGTTACATGAAACATGGAGAAGACTGCATACGGCAATGCTGAGAAAATTTTCCTGAAGGATTCATGCTTGTGAGCTATTTATCAGGAAAATACCACTTCTACTTATCAGAGTGCCCTGAAAAGAAAATATCTGGACAGTACTATTTCAATCACATTCTGAAAGCATTGTTTGAAAAGCTTTGTATGTACATACAAAGCAGATGCACAAAATGTTTTTGCATCATGACAAAGCAAGCTCATACATATTCCAATTGACAGAACACTTATTTTGAGAAACTCCATCAGAAAACAGAAATTAGCTATATCAGTGCATCTATGAAAGGTTGTGATATCAGCCCCTTGACTTCTTTGGATTTGGTTTGCTAAAACAAGTTGTAACCAAAAAGCAAAATCATTAGATGGTCTTTGGAAGGTTACAAACAGGTGTAGTTTAAGATTGACATCTAAATTGTCAGAAAGATTTTCAAATCATAGAAATAGCATTGTAATGCAATTTATAGAAGTAACAGAGGACATGTTGAACAAATGAAAAATTTGTACAAGCATTATTAAACTTTTCAAAAATAACTGAAAAACCTATTAGCAATAGTGTGATTCTTGTTTTATATATATATATATGTTACTGTGAAAGACCGAAATTAGAGAATGTCGATATTCTCTGGTGAATGTCGACACATACAAAATAGGTCGGTGAAAGACTGAATATTTGGTTATATTATTATACATTCGAACAATCGCTGGTGTATGTCAACAAGCACAGATAAGCTTTAGTGGAGGTTGATGTCGACAGAGAGGCAACAGTCTGTCGCCAAATCCTTTGTGGGTAGTCGGAGGTAGGACAAGGTCGTACCTCTTTTTCTGGCAACGGTTTGGTGGAAATTGCCCACTTTGTCACTGGATGGTGTTTTTGTTCTTTTGATCCTGTGAGGTGGGGATCGGTTTGTCAGGTCAAGTGGCAGAGGATGAGAGGGGTTGTCGGTAAGGCATCGGCTATATCCAAATAAAAGACACCTTTAACAGATCGGTTCATAATCACATAATAATGTAATCAGTTCGTAATTTGTAAAGAAAAGTTACTTTCCATAGATGAGGTTTCTTCTCAAGATATATCGCTGAGAGAAGCAGCTACAGCTAATTCGAAAAGTGGAGGGTAAGGCTATACAGTAGATCCCCTATAACACTAGATAATTCCATGTTGTACGAGTCACTTAGATTTTACAAATACGTTAGCCGTTCACAGCCTGGCACATGTATTTGTAAAATCTAAGTGACTTGTACAACATTGAATTCATATAACACGGAACTATCTATAGTGTTATAGGGGAATCTACTGTACACGCTGTCATTGCAAAAAGAAGTGTTCCACGAATAAATGCAGTTGTAAAAACAAAGGACTCAAAGTGCCATAATAGTTTAAGTTATTGCAATAAATAAGATTGTACAACGTCAATCACATAATTTATGTGTAAGTTTATTATTGTATTATTTTCTTTAATGATTTAGAACATACTGTTCATTTTAGGTTCAACAGTTTATTTACATGTGCCATTACTTAAGCTTTCTCCTATTTTGACATATTAATTTAAAAAGTTGCGTTTTTGTCTTAACGTGATAAAAATAGTTTTATTTAACATTCACCATCAGTGCATGCTGAATGTCAACATTTGCCAGTGTAAGTGAGAAATGATGATATTTAGCAAATATTTCGTACCTACACAAAACGACTGTGTGAATGCTGACATTCACCAGAAAATGTTGACATTCGCCAGATATCGGTCATTCACAGTAACATATATATACAGTAGAGCATCGATTATTTGACTCAATTGGGGACTGGGGTTGGTCGGATAACTGAAAAAACAGATAACCTAAAAATATGAAAAAATACATTATTAGTATAGTATATTAGTATATTGCTATTAACCTACTTTGCGTTGAATTTTCATCGATGTTAAGCCTAACAAAAATTTTTTTAAAATAATAATCGTCGCTATTGTATCGTTAAAAATTAGAAAATTAAGCCTCATTTAAATACTGGCTCCCTTTCATGGTTGAGCCATGTTGCCAGCTAAAACATGTAAAAATACTATTAAAGTAGCCAAGACATAGCCAAATATTGTAGCACCACATCACTAGCAGACATTTGAATTTGCCGACTAGAACGGTTGGTTAACCGATGTGACGGTTAATCGGGGGTTGGATAATCGATGCTCTACTGTATTAAGAAATTATCTATCTACATGTATTTTTATTTTCTTAATTATAATGAATAATTCTGAAAGTACTATGTAACTATATTTGAGAAATTAACATCTTTTAATTTATTACTTAATTATATGATAAATTCAATTTTACAATTGAATCATTTATCTTCATGGTAAGATCAATTAATTATTGGTAATGTTATCTTTTGTTATTAATATTTGTTGTTGTTAATAGTACTGTACATAATGTAAAAATAATCAAGCAGCTTAATTAATGTTTGATAAAAGAAAACTGCATCTGTGTTCTATCTCTCATTTTAAAGTTTTAAGACAATTGGTTTATTTTAAAAAATTGTAACTATGTATCAGAATAAATTATTATAACAATAAAAATACTTTAAGATTGATTTTTTTTATTATTATTTCATTTTGAATATTAATTGTATTCTAAACAAATATTTCAATAAAAAATTTTTTTTAGGTATTAACCATGTCTGATGATCTTGATGTTGAAGCTATGTTGGAAGCCCCATATTCCAAGGGTGTAAGTTTTATTTTTAAAGTTATTTTTCCTTCCTTAAGAATATCTGTTTATACTACTATTAGTTTTTTACTTTGTTTTAATTGTGTATAAATGTAATAAAATAGTGGTATGGTGAGTTTTTATTTTATATATATATGTATTTATATATATATTAAATATTAATTTTAATTTGTCAGAATTATTCCAATAAGATGGATGAAAATTATTTAGGGAAAGGAACTGTTAGTTTTTTGCTTAGGTATAATATCAAAGACAATTTTATTATATGAATGTCTTATAAGGTATTCTTTGTCTTGTAGACCCCTCATAGACCTGAACCATCACAATGTACCAAATGGAACACTTTTCTGAGGTAGTACATCCAGGGAAATGGTATTAAATTCTAATTAAATAAACCAAATATTTCCTTAAAAATTATCACACATTTTGGTAATATAATATTTTATTCAAAATTGATAGTCCTATACAATTTATTAAAGTTTGAAATATTTTAATACTGATGGAAAGTTAACTGAAATTATTACATCATGATGATAAAAACTTCATGCACATATTTTAAAGCAATATACTAAATTTTCTCATTAATTAGTATTAATTTAATAATCAACAATAATAACAGCACAATCAATGATTAATGAATATAATGAATGAGGTCACGATTCTGAAATCGTGTCCATTCCTCTTATCTCAGGGATGGCTGGAAACGTCTGCAGCTGTTTGGTATCTCTCTCTCTCTCTCTCTCCTGGTGAAGCCTAAGCCTGGATGATCTCAAGAGTTCCCTAAGACTTGCACTTAACATATTTTGGTGTGAAAGATTGTTTTGTGTGAGATAATTAATGATTTAATTAGATGTTAAATTTAAAAACTGCTTTTGTTGTAACAGATACTCATAAATTTATATTGGCAAACAATATTCAAAAATGTTCATGTAATAAAAAAGAAAAATATTTTAAAAATTTAAGACAGATACTTATTAAATTATATATAGAAAGTTAAATGGAGTTTAACGAAAACTTTTAGCTTTTAAATGTGTAAAAAAAAAAAGAAAATATTTTTGAATTATTTTCAAATATTTCTTAATCAAAGTTTAAATGTGTTTTTATAACAATTTTAAAATGTGTAAATTTTAGGAAATTTTTTTTCCAAAATTAAAAATTTAAGACAGTGATTGACCTTTTATTCTAAGCTTATTATGAATCATTATAATGCTATCTTCATATAATAGGAAAAAAGTTAGGAAATTGCTTTTCCTATATCAGTATATGAAATGATAAATTTGAGATTATTCATAATACTGTTTCGATCCACATTAACATTTTATCCTATTTTAAGAGAAAATACTAAATTTTTCGCATAATACATTTTTATTTTCATAAGATACATTTAATGAATCTTATAAAAATGATTATATTAGATATTTCTTTCAGGAAAAAAAAGGGAATAGTGATAATGATAATGTGCATAATGAGGTAGGTTCCAATTTTTTAATCAAAAATTATTTCATTATTTTTGAATGTTCTAAATATATGTATTAATTTCATTATCATAACTATCATTGAAGTGTTACTTTTTTTATTCCAAAAACTATTTTTTAATAAGAATACATAGTTTGTTTTGTTTGCTTTTTCATTAAAGAAAGTATTGCTAAACTATCCTATTTGATTCTATTTGCTTAAAACATTCTTAGATTTGCATCATCAAAGAGTGGTAAACATTTTTTTATATGTATGCCCAAAATGGTTGTATCTAATGTTAAAGAGGTTTGTGTATGCTGAAGTTTTAGTTTAGGAACTATTACAAATTTTTGTAAATTTCATTAGAATAGATGTATAAAACTAATAAGTAATGAAGAAGATAAACTGAGCTGACTATGGAACTAGAATACAAAACCAAGATTAATATAAATTGGAATTAAATCACAGGACTAATATCATTTATATAATTGACTTCATCGAAAAAATGTTTTGAAACTGTTTTTGAGATATGTTATGTGAATATTTTGTATATTTGAATTATTTTTTTAATGCATAGTATTTGCTAGTAACTGTATTATTATATAATAATTGAGTATTATGATTACTAAAAATTTTGCAATTTTAGATGTAGTTAAAATTTTAGATGTGATAAGTTGCATGCCAAGCAAATTCTTCAGATGTGCCACAGGTTCATAATTTTGTTCTTTTTCTTTTCTATCCTTAAAATTTAAGAATGAGGAAACAAAGAATAAGTTGACTATTTATATAAAATTTATCATTTTTATACAACATGGAAATTTGAATGTTCAGCATCATTTTTGTTTGTAATTCTGATTCTAATTTATATAAAATGTTTTAATATTTATTATTTTGCAAAGTAAAAGTAATTAATTCAGAAATTAAAATAATAGAATGGCATTTAAAAAAAAATGTAAGTATTTACAAATGTTGCTATTAAATTTTAATAAAGTTTTAGTAATCTCTGTCAGAAAAGTCTGAAAAACCACGTATCTATTATTTTCACAAAGTTTCACTAAATAGAAAGAGGAAAAATTGAATAAAAAATATATCCATTTGTATTCTAGTAAGTTTTTTAAAATGAATACATTATTGAGTTATTGCAGATAGAAAAATAGACAAATCATTCAAATATGGATATACATAGTTGTATTACTCGATTAAGATTACATTCAAAACTTGTGAAACAGCATAAAAAGTAATGAATTTTAGAAATTCATATGTTTAATTAAGATTATTTATATACAAAGTAATAAGTAATCCATATTTATATTAAGAACTGTCTTAAAGTTTTATTATTAATTATAGAATGGAATAGATACAACATTAAATTTTTTTAATCAAAACTAATTATAAATATATCAGGAATAAATGCATTTAAACACTTACAATATTCATATCCATTCAGAAATATTAACTAAATTGATTTTATCAACTTAAGATTTAATTTTTAGTTATTTACAGATTGTTTCAATATGAAAATAAACAGTTAAAATAAAAATGTTATAATTTTTATTGCCTAAAAGGAAGTATGCTATGCATTAAAACAGATACTAAGAAAAGAGCTTTAAATTATACATTATCGTCTGTTTTGTTTTTTAGTAGTTCCAAAGTTATGCTATTTATATTATAATTACAGAATAGAACATGAAGAATAAAGGTCAATCACTGAATATATTGAAATCATTAAATTATTAGAAATTATTTTTAAAATGTAAAAATATATAACTAATTGAAAACATTGTTTTTTTATTAATTTCTATTGTAAACTTGTTTTTATTTATGAGATCATGTTGTAACAAAAACATTTTGATAATTTATCATGATATAACCATTATTATTAAAAGTATTGATCATTAATAAAAAATTTTTTAATGTGTAGATGAATATTCTAGGACTAATTTTCTGTTGTGTTCTCTGTTAGATGACTTATGGTAGTTATCTAATAAGGAAATCTTCATCTCCTGTTTAAAGACATCGTCTGTTCTCTATAGCTGACTGATTTATGTTCAAATATAGAAAATTTGGTATTATTTTAACTTTTTAAAATAAATTTCTACGATTATATGTATATTCTAATATATTCTGTAAATTAAACTGAAATGTTTTTAAAAATATTCTTGTGAAAATAACCAGATATTCTTATGTAACATAGTTTATTATTGGTGTAATTTAAAATAAGATCATCATCTTGAATTTTTAGAAATAGGTATTAGATTTTTAAATGAAATGAACTTATTCTTTTTTATTATTATTGTTGTTTGTTGTTGTTGTTATTTTTTTTTATTTTTTGAATTATTAGGATATATCTCTTAGGTAATTCTGTGTTGTATATTAATTATTCTTTTTATAATTAGTATTTCCATTTATTTTGTAATTGAGAATATTAATATACTTATAAAGTATTTGACATATTTTAAAAACATTGCTTTTGAATTGTTAAATTATAATAAAAGTAAATTTTTGTAGGGAAAAAAGTTGTTAAAAATTTGTAGTAGTGAAAAGTATTTAAAATTAAATATGAGGAAGATTTTTTTTTTCTTTATTGTTTAGTTTTTGTTATGTAAACATTTAAATAGTGTTTACTTTAAAAAAATATGTATATATAAAATGTCATATAAATGCATGTCATAGGGAAAATATATTTATATACTTTGTAATGAAGCATTTCTTCATTATATCAAAATAAATTTTTTTAACATTAATTTTAATGTACAAGTATATCTTTTTTCAGGATAAATATTTTGAAAGAGAAATTTTTAGGTAAATCTTTAGTCATTCTCAGGTTTTCCATTCAAACAATAGAATTTTTTTTTTTTTTTTAAAGATATTTTATTAATTTTGATATATAAATTCTGAGGATGGTTATAAATTTAGCAAAAATTTGCTTATTTCAAAATATTGCTGGAGAAAGATTGTTTTATACTTTCTAAGTTGAAATCAGTTGAGGAGACAATTTAATTGAACTTTTTGTTTTAATCACTAAATTTAAATATTCATAAAATATTGCTGTTTTTGTTTATTTTAATAATATAATTTGTATGTTGTAAATTTAACACTAATTTTGAATTTATTAATATCAAAAATATTTGAGTTGAGCAATAAATTTTCCTTACAATTTACTTATTTCTCCTGTTGCATCTAAAATATGTGCAGTCATTGATCTTCTATATTAGTCTTTGTAAATTCATTCTTTTTATGATACTTTCTATAAAAAGCTGATGTGAGAGTGTTAAAATGCATATTAACAAATATAATTGATAAACTGCAGAAATTTAAGATATTTTATCTGTATAGAATAGAATTAGAATTTTCAACATAGAATAAACTCAAAAGAAATTTGTTGGAACAGTTGTTAAGTGACAAATAATGCTTTGCTACTATTATATTTTGTAATTTAACAATATTCTGATTAAATATTTTATTATTATATATAAAAATTTATAAAGTTGACAAAAATGTAAAATAATCATCAAACCAACTAAGAAATTATATTTAGTACAAACCTCTTATTTTAAGGTATTTCGTTTTTAAATTTATTTGAAAATGCTTTGTTTACTTAATAGTTTTAAAATTTATTTTTAAATTACCATTCCAAAATTGGTGAATATATTTAGTATTATTAAAAATGAAGAAAAATTTTAACTAGTAAAACAGGTCTTTGTTTTAAATAAAAATTTTCTTTTAATGAAAAAATTATATATTAAGCTAATACAGTAGACCCCCCCCTATAACGCTTAGATACGTTCCACGCTAACCGAAAATTACGTTGTAGGAACGATTAAATACATGAGCCAATCGCAGCCCGATAGGTGGGAACTTTATGGACTAAGGCTGTTCGAAAGGTTTTCTTCTATAAAATTAACCGATTCTAGACTAATTCCACTCAACATTTCCAAAACACGTATAATTTTTTGGGAGTAATCCGTATAAACTATGCTATAAACAAAAAATTATAGGATTACTTACCGAGTGTGTACCGTTCGACTACGCCCGTTGTTCAAAGCTTGTCTTCGTCGCGGAACAGCACACGAAACGGCGGCCGCAATTTCTGATAACGAATTTTTCGCAGAAAAATAACTTGACCTTTGGAGACATCATTAATATAAATAATTTTTATGGCCGTTGAATAAGAAGTGTTTCTTTCACAAGAAATGTATAAAATTAGTGCTGTATTAGACTTACGGTACCTAATTTACATACTGTGCAGACGATAATAAACTCAACTTACTAGCCTAAAATCTCCGTAGCGTGTTGCCAGGCGGCAGAAAGCATATATATAATTATAATAAAGTTACAATAAATTAAGTTAATATATAATTATATATACAGTACCTAATTTATATATAATTAATATATAATTATATGTACAGTACCTAATTTATATATAATTTATATATAATACTAAACAGACGATAGCAAACTCAATTTAGCCGCTCCGTAGCGTGGCGCAGGGTCGGAGGAAAGTAGTTCGGCTGCTCATCCACTATTGGTCCAGACTCTATTAATCTTCTCGCGAAACGACGTTATAGGAGGTACGTTATATGAAAGTTGCTACAATTTTTTCACTGCGTTATAGGAATTGTCGTTATAGGAACGTACGTTATAGGGGGGTCGACTGTATGCATGAATGAGAATTTCCTACATCTAGTTAATGCCATCTTTCAATTAATTGTTTTAAAAACAGTAGCTTTGATTATAAATTATATCTGTTTAAAAGTTGTTTTACCTTCATACAGAGTTTCAAAAGTCTATTTATTGCACCTTTTTCATTTCAAAAGTACTGAAGATACATTAACGAAATTAATGTAGTTACAAAGGAAGTCAAGCATGGTGAATTAGATTTAATTTTTTTTTTCCTCCATTTAAAACAGAATTACTTTACTCCTCATTAATTTAAAGTTTATTTTTTTAAAATTAATATCTTTTAAATATCTGTTTACACAATACTGATTAATAATCCAGAAAATGGTTTTAAACTAAATTAAATGATGCTCTTTAACTTTGTTATTGATTTAGTTTACTTCTGCTTATTAAAAAGTTACAATGTAAGTGACCTTGAAAATGATTTTAAAGATCAGAGAATCAGATGGAACCTTTGACGCTCATGACTTCCTATGTAATTTCATTGACAAAATGAATACATCTTCAGTAGGTTTGGAAGGAAATTGCTGCTGGATTGAAGGGACTGTTGACACCCTATATATGCATGCAAAATAAAATACTTGGATCATTGAACACAAATTATTACATGAATTTAGATGAACAATTATGAATTTATGAAATAATGTGACAAATTTGTATACTAATGATGCAATTCTATAGAAATATGGCATTATTTTCAAAATTAGAAAACATAATTTGATGTTTTTCTTCAAAAGTTTTTTTAAATGACTATTTTAATGTTTAAAAATATTGTTAAAATAGTTTCGTTAAACACTCATTTCCAGCAAAGAAATTATATAATAAAATCAATTAGTGAATTTAATATTGAATATCTTACATGAGTATGTTTTCAGCTAAAATGGTTTTTGCCACTGTTAATATTTAAAATTATCCAATTTTGTTTTAAATGATGTTTTTTGTATTATAATTACGAAATTTGATTTGTTTTAGTATTTTTAATTCTTTTCATTTCTACATTGAGGTTTATATATAGTTTGTAGGATTATAGATGAAAAAAAAAAAGTTGTGTTATAATGAAAGAAGTAAAAACGTTTAAAGAAAAAATTTTTAAATTAATATAATAACTAATAATGTTGAAATAGAAACATATTTTAAATTCATATAAATCACCACTTTTTGTTATTTATGTGAAATTTTGTAGTTAATTATAAATGATTTGTCATCTTATGAAATATGATAAATTTAATGATGAAAAATTGTATGAAAAAAAATCTTTTATTAAATAATTTGAAAATAAGATTTTTTCAATTTGAATATTCTTATTTGGTTTGATTAAAATTGTATGTTAATATAGAAATTTTATTTCAATCATCTTTTATTTGAAAGCCATTTATTTAAAATATCTTAACGAAAATTGATGAATTAATATTTAATTATTGTCATCAATTATTATTATTATTATTTTGTATTTATTTCAAAAAGTTGTAGAAATATTGAACAGTAAGAAATATCCCTTTTGTCATTGGCTATAATTCATAGAAAAAAAATATATTAAATTTAAATTTTGAAAACATTTTAATTTTAAAAATTTAGTTAGAATGTTAGTAATATTAATTTAAGATTGCTAATATATTAAATTATCTAAGGAATTTTTTTTTCTTATTTTGTTTTTCGGAAATTGAATATTTCTGAATATATAATAAATGCATGTAGTTAGATTTTAAATCAAATATTTAAATACTAGCAGGTAGGTCTGGCGTTTCTCAGGCAAAAGTAACAATAGCAAAGATTAAGATTATTACGTTATAGTCAACCTTACCTGTTTTTAAAGAATTAGGTCTCCCTATTTCCAGACTGATTAGAGAATTTTTAGATGGGTCTAAAAATATGTTCAATTTCCCACAAAAACAAAAAAAAACTGCATCTGCGTCTTGCATATCACTTTTTCTTAACAATTCCATTGTTACGTAACACTTCCATTGTTGATGGAAGTGTTAAGCCTTAATCCTGTCCCTCTTTCCTGTGGGGAGGAATATCAAAAAATCCTATCTTAGTGTGTGTTCTCGTGACATATCCTAATTGTGTACCAAATTTCAACTTTCAACTCCTAACCATTTGGGCTCTGCGCTTATTATTATTATCAACTCGTCTCGATTATATATATATATATATTAATTGAGACGAGTTGATAATAATAATAAGCGCAGAGCCCAAATGGTTAGGAGTTGAAAGTTGAAATTTGGTACACAATTAGGATATGTCACGAGAACACACACTAAGAAGGGATTTTTTGAAATATATATAATCAATCTTTAAATATAACCAATGCAAAGTTTTTAGCTCTAATCTAATTTATTCATAAACATTTGTTATTATTTTGAAAAGGAAGTTAAAATTAATCTTTTAAACATCTGTTAGTAGTTTAGTGAGTAAGATTGTTTAGCTGCTAAGAAAAAAAAACGTAGAATGCAGACTGCTTTGCATGAAGGTTTCAAATATTGTTTATAACTGAGGAAAACATTATTTTTAAAGCGATAATAATTATTATTGAGGAGAGAAATAAAAATTTTAAAAGAAATTACAACATTATTATGCAAAATACATATTTTGCATAAAATTGTTGCTTATTCAGTAAATAAGGAGGGACTGATGAATAGATGGCATTAGTCATATCATAGGTTTATGCATTTATACAAATATAAATAAATAACTGAAAAATAGGTTTTAGAAATATCAAAATCCACAAGTTTTGTAATTTGTTGAATTAATAAGAATTAATAATAAAAATAGAGGCAGGATCAAATAAAAATAATTTATAAAAAATATGCTCTCTGGTGTAATTTTGGTTGTAGTTTTTTAATATACCATAGTTTCTTTCTCTGTTCACTCACCTACTACTAATATTTTGATCGCTTATTCAAGAGAAAGATTTTTGGTTGATTATGAATAATTATTTTGTTGTTTCTTGTTGAACGTCCTTGTCTGATTAGAAATGTTATCTAGATTCTAGCAAATATTGGTCTTCAGTGGACCTAAAGGATTCAAATTGATAGTTAAGTCTGGCAACCACTTTGAATAGATAAAATTGTTTAGAAATTGCATTTGAGAGCTTTCTCAAGAGGCATTTTTTTTACATAGAGCAATATGTTAAGGAAATGCAGTCCTGCATGCAATTTTTTAATAAGATGGCATAAAATTGCTCAACATCTTATTCAAAAATTGCATGAGGAACTGCATTTCTTCCTCTGTATAGATTAGTTCAGAGCTATTTTGTTTATTGTTGATGCTGAAACAACACTGTTTACATTAACATTAGTAACAGAACTAGTTTGTCTGTGTGAAGGAGGATTTCCAGTTTTATGATGTCATGAAAGAAATTTATTTTCACAAACAAGAGTGTTCAAAACACAAAGTAGGATACAGTCCAATGCTGCACTTTTATTTTATTCTAATTAAAACTGTTTTTAATTTAATTTAAACTTTTGCTTTGAATATTTGCTTCATATGCTAATAAACGAACATGACAAAAAAAAATATGATCTAAATAACATCTGAGTTTGATATTAATGAATAGTTCAGAAAGTAATAATCATATATAAATTAATTTAAGTGTGTGTGCTTACACATGCTATATACAGTATAATGTAAAAATTATTAAATTTATTTTAGGGAAAATTTATTTTAAATTTAAGAAGTTCAACATATACTTCCTAAAAAATAGTGTTTGTTGATTACCTGTGTGAGAGAGGTATAGTGATCATGGTAGAATGCACATAGAAAACTGATGTAATTGGAACAAGCAATAAATTTCAGTTTATTTAATCTTGTGCATTTTTATTTAACAATATATTTTTAAACTTTTCATTGATTAGGTATAGGTAATAAACTTTTTTATCAATAACTAAAATAATCAATGGTTTGAATTGTTTCTAGGATTCTTTAGAAAATATTTTCAAAAATAATACAATTTATAACAAAGAAATTATTGCACTAAATTTTTCTTTAGTTCTAGGGCTTTAAAAATTTATGTTTAAGAATTGTAAATAATTATGATGCTTATTCATCGTTGACTTAATTAGAAAAACCAAAATTTTTTAAAGTTTCATGTATTTAGAAATTATTATTGAAAATAAATTTTTTAATAAATATATATATTTATATATACGATGACAGTTAAATTTGATTTTTATTCTTGCAATAACATGTTTTAAGTTGTATTTTAGCATCATTTCTTTCTGAATATAAAAGTTAATAAAACATAACTTTTTAATACACAAAAATATGTTAAATTTATAATCGAAAATAAGAATTTACATTTCATTATACATGTGTGTTTATGCATATGATTATGTATATTTCATTTAAATTAAATTTAGGAATGCCATTTTGCATGTATACAAATTAATGTAGATTCTTAATTTGCCAGACTATAATTTTTCCTAAAANGGGTTAACATCGACGAAAATTCAACACGAAGCGACACGCAACGGAGAAAAATTTCGACATTGGATACGTTAAACTATTTTTTCGTACGTAAATCAGTTATCCGGACAACCCCAGTCCCCAATTGATTCGGAAAATTGACGCTCTACTGTATTATATATATGTGAGAAGCCAGGGACGTAGAACTAAGTTTACGCCGCTTACAGGGACACAATCTCAAGATTGGATCACTAAACTTTTTCTAGAAGGGCTGTTAATGTTTAAACGAATCTAGAGGATTAATTCTAAATCTAGTCAGGATTCCTTGACACCAGTTAATCAGTTATTTTACACGCGGATTAACTCGCGTTATCCTTAAACTTGGGATTCGGAGTAACTAAGGAAACTTGAATGAAAATGAATGTGTAATAAGAACTAAGCATAACCAAACCATTTTATAAAACAAATCTTTGGCATTGTATAAATTATGTTGTTAAGTAATAATAATCAGCATTTTTTATTAAGTAATAATATAATGTAGGAACATTTATAATAAAATCACATCGCATAAGGAAATAACAAGGAATTCTTTATCACTTCAAATTCTTATTTGTTTTACAATTTCAAATCAAATATATATTCAATACTGTATTCTAGTTTTTACTGTTATATATATAAATATTATAGAAGCATGTTCAATGTATAAAACTCATTAATTTCATTAGTAATTAGGATCTGATTTTAAAAGAATACCAGAATCTTAAGTTCAGTTTTAAAAATTATATTTCAGAAATTGTAATTTTTAAAGGTTGTTTTTTTAACTAAAATTAACTGAGAGAAGGAATATCTGATGAAATGTGTGTAGAATTTTTCTTAAATAGAAGATTAATAAAAATTTTATTATCCAATATTTTAGATATTTCCAATTTCATCAATAGGATACATACAGGTATTTGCTTTGTAATTATCTTGTAAATAGTTTTTGTTCAAAATCAAAAAATGATCATTTTAAAAATTCATAAAATGATTAGACAACAATTATAAATTCAAAAATGCTTACCAGAATAGATGCTTACCAGAAGATATATTTATTAAACCATTTACATCAGAAACTCATACAAATGATTACATATTAAATTGATCTCATAAAATACATTTTCATACAAAAATAGAAATGATTGTCATTTAATAAAAATAAATAAATAGTTTGGAAAACTTATTCTGTTAGATGAATTTAATGTGTAATATTTTTGAGATTTTGATGATTAAAAACAAGATATTTTAAAAAATGCTTGACTGTAATTATTAATTGATCATTTTATGAACTTTTATGAAGTATGGAAGATTTTATTTTGAGAAATTTATATAAGAATAATGTGTAAAAATTCCTTAGAGAATATATTCATGTTATATTAAAAATGTATAAACATTTTTATTTTATTCAATATCTAAAATTTTTTCTTCAGATAACTTTGAAAAAATAGATTTATAAATTTTCTAAAATAAATTTCAAATATTATAAATGATTTAAATGATATAACATTTGGTGAATTATTTTCTGGTTTTGTTCATTTTTAAATTTGAATAAAATTATAGCACAAGTAATGTAATGCAATTTAATGTTTTGATCTGAAGAAATAATTTTACAATTAAAATTATTTTAAAGAGATCATAGTTATTAACAGGAGAAAATTAAGCATTAATATACTTCTACAAAATATTTTATAACAAGAAGACTTAAAATTAATTATTTTCCTTAGATATATAATATCTTTAACAAAAATTTAAGATGTTTTTACATTATGCACAGATTACTAAATGAAGTATATTGAATTTTATAAACAGTTAGATTTTATCATCCTATCATTTGATTCTGACAATTTAAAATTAAAATAATAATATGACATACTATTTTAAAATGTTAGCATATGAGATGGCAAATATTTATTAGTTTTGTTCTACTGATTAAGGACTCTTGATTGTTTGAATTGCAGATACATCAACATAGTTTAAGAGGAAATATTTAATAAACACTACAATTTCAAAATCTGACAAAATAATAATAATCAGTAAGTAGTTTTTCTTGCAGCTTATCAGTCTAAATCTGTTTTGGGCATAGTTGTTTATCAGTTTTAAAAATTATTTTAAGAATGAGTTTGTTTTTAGGAACTCAAGTGGTATTGCCAATGAAGAACTTGCTCATTAAATCACAAAATATTGTATTTACGAAAAGTACAAAAAAAAATGTCTGAATGTAGATATTTCCCAATGAGTAATCTTTCTAGGAAATGCAAGAAATGACCAATTAGACAACTGTTAATACATCAATATATAACTTACTAATTTCAGTTAGTTATATTAGTAAACATAATTCTTTTATTTTTTAAATTTCTAAGTGATTGTTTATTACCAAATGTAGATGAATAGTAGATAAAAAATTTAAATACATCAGGATGAATGTCTTATGTTTTGTTTGTGTGTTAATACTTTTAATTTTTTGAATTTTTTTTGTAGATTTCTAAATGCTTGTAGGACGTTTAAATTATTGTGCAAATTAAAAAAGTTTGACAGTTGTAAACAGTATTCTTTACCTAACAGACTTTTATATAAATTATAAAAAGGATTATAAATGATAATTCAGTACAATTTAAAATAAAGTTAATATAAAAATTAGTAATTATCATTTACCATCATGATACAATGAAGTTACAAAATTTTGAAATTTTTTAATGTAAATAATAAAAATGATAGATAGATTTTACGTTTTGAGATTTAAAATAAATATTTAATTTTATAGTTTATGTATAAAATTAATAAAAAAAATTGAACAGGAAACTTTCATTTGTTTAGTACTGTTGTTTTTTCCACAGAATGTAAAATACTCTAATTCTGTTTAATTTAAATTTTGTAAAAAAATTTTATTTATGTAGAATTATTTCTTGTATAAGTTTTGAATGCAGATTTCTAAATTATTCAGAGGATAATGCATAATTAAATTCAATATTTTAAAAGAAACTATTAGTTGTCCATTATTCTTGTAACATTTTGATGATTTCAAAATAAATCTTTGATTTATGGTTAATTTTATAATTTTTTTTTGTTAGTGTAATTATACAACTTTGCTATTAGTTTCATACTAATAACTTCTTTGCTTTTTGGAGGAAAAACTTACTAACAATAACTGTGACTATGTTACGCTGATTAATTTTCATTACTTTGATATATTGTCAAAGTACAGTTTTGAACAAGTAAATAGAAATTAATTTATTATTATTAATTTTTTTTTTAAAGTTTGTTTTAATTGGAAATTGTAGTAGGTTCACATAAACTTATGGAAATTGATTGAATTTTAGCTTTAATTCTTATGATAAATATATAAAATTCTGATTCAAGTGTTAAACTAGAAAATAAATTTGAAGTAAAAAATTTTAAGTTTATCAATGCTTTTTTTTCTCTTCTGTAAAAAAACACTGTTGCTTCTTTCAGTTTCAAATAACTTTATTTCGATTTCCATCACATCAGTGAGATAAAATTTCATAGATACCTTCCTCTGTGCTATAGGTTATCATTTGATGACTTATATTTGGCAAAGATCCTGAATTTTTGTTGAATGGGTTCTAAACATTGGACAATAATGACAACTTAAAATCATATATTGTAATGCAGTAAAAATTAAAAGGTAAGTGCAGAGTGAAAATTGAATGCCAATGACAATTGGGTATTATGAAAATAGAAATGAATATTTTATTGATTTATAGTACAGTAAGTATAATATATGTATGTACATGTATAAATTAATGCTAGTTAGAAAATCAAGTGGTATTCAGTTTTCAAAATTGTATGGTATGTGTGAATAGTATGTTTGTGTTTTAATTTTCAGATAGCAAGTTGCTCATCTAGAAGGTAATTAGTAAATAAATAGTAAAAATAATATATAGTTTATTAATTAAATAAATATTATTTTTTTTTTTACCTTTTGCATCTGATTTGATCCAATGTGATTCCTGAACACTTACATCATTCTGCTGGATTTTCAACAATAGGATGAAGTAAATGGAAGATTGGACGATAGTAGCACTGCCAACAAAGAAAACAGGCGGTATGATTTAAATTATATTTTTAAAAAGATTTTTCTTACAAAAATTTATATATAATTTATTGAATCCAGAAAGTTTTTAATCAGATACATTTTAGAATAAATTTAGATTTTTTTAAATAATACTTTGAAATTACTCTTACTATCTAGATTAAGTGGTTCTCAACCATTTTCAAAATTGTAGTATGCTTCAGATTATAAACATTATTTAGTGGAAATACTTAGACAAAAATATATATGTTACTGTGAATGACCGATATCTGGCGAATGCCAACATTCTCCAGTGAATGTCAGCATTCACACAATCGTTTCGTGTATGTACGAAATATTTGCTAAATATCATTATTTCTTACTTACACTGGCAAATTTTGACATTCAGCATGCACTGATGATGAATGTTGAATAAAAATATTTTTATTATGTTAAGACAAAAACACAACTTTTTAATATGTCAAAATAGGAGAAAACTTAAGTAACAGCACATGTAAATAAACTGTTGAACCTAAAACGAACAGTACATTCTTAATCAGAAAAGAAAAATAATACACAAAATTACACATACACATATATTATGTGATTAACGGTATATAATCTTATTTATTGCAACAACTTAAACTGTTATGGCACTTTGAATTGCACAAGAGTCCCTTGCTTTTACAACTGCATTTATTCGTGGAACACTTCTTTTTGCAATGACAGCGTGTATAGCCTTGCCCTCCACTTTTCGAATTAGCTGCAGCTGCTTCTCTCGGCGATATTTCTTGAGAAGAAATCTCATCTATGGAAAGTAACTTTTCTTACAAATTACGAACTGATTACAGGTATAAAGCTGCTTGAGAGCACTGCGGGCCCAAGCAAACTCAGCGTTTTAGGTAAATGACTGTAACATCGCTCCATTAAAAAAAATACGCAACAATATAAAACACTAATGTAAAATAGAGTATCTAATTTTAACCAATACGCAGCACGCAATATCACGATCGTGAGACTATGGCGCTACTTTCAAAATGGCAACTCGCAGGTCACCACGTGAGAAAGGATTGTGATCAAAAAGAATTTATTTTTTCATTATGTATTGTAATTTATGCATGTACTTTCGTCATGCCACACCTCCCAAATTCAAGCGCCCTAGGCCATCGCCTAGTTTGCCTATATGAACTAGGCGATGGCCTAGTTCATATAGGCAAACTAATTTGGCAACAGACTGGCGAAGAATTTGGCAACAGACTGTCGCCTGTCTGGTGACATCATCTTCTCAGGTGTCGTTTCAACCTCCAACAAAGCTTATCTGTGCTTGTCAACATACAGTGGCGATTGTTTGAATGTATAATAATATAACCAAATATTCAGTCTTTCACCGACGTATTTTGTATGTGTCGACATTCTCTAATTTCAGTCTTTCACAGTAACATATATATGACAGTGTCAGTGTCAGTGTCAGTTTTTTAAATAAACCTTAAAATTATCAATTTAGGACATTTGTAGAACTTAACCACTCAGCAGTGACCAACAGATAACTCCATCAAGGGCAATCATGTGGCACTGGTGAATGACGGCTATATCCGCAAAATTCTTTTGCGGATATTGCCGTCATTCACCAGTGCCACATGAAAAAAATTCACTTTGAAAAAGGACATTTTTTTACTATACATAACTGTTTACAAAATCTTTTTCCAAAATGGTAATGACAAAAATGCGTGGGAAAATACTTCAAAAAATTTTTCACATTTATTTTCCACTACATAGAGATAGAACCATACCTGACTAACCCGCTGCCGAAAGGTTAATATACCTTTTGTTTACAAACTACAGCTCTACAAAACTTACTATATTGTAAACATAATAGTAAGATAGCTTAAAGTAATAAATGTGTCAGAACCCAAATTTATCAGAGCTTGCTTTTTGTTTTGAATTGTTTAATCATAGAGGCTATATCTGTTGTCATTTCATTGTTTTGTTTGTTCATAAACATTATTTATTAATTCTGGCATAGTAAACACTAGTATCGTGTTGTATTCTAAATTGTCTTTAGAATACAACACGATACTAGTGTTTACTACACCAGAATTATAAAACAGGACATGGTTTCAAAAAACAAATTATTTATTAATATTTTACTATTTTTTTAAATAATTTATTTAATAATAAAAAATTTTATTTAGATTTTAGTTTTTTAGATATAGGTTTATTTGCTATTAAGCCTAAATTTAAAAGATAAAATCTTCATTATAAAATTTGTAATATTTACATAACCAATATGTTGGGCAATTATGTGATTTAATTTTCTTACAAGTTAAATTTATTTTTAATTGATGGCTCTGAATACTATGATTAGAACAATTGCTTTTATGTATGAAGATATCAATAATTTAAATTTAATTATTTGTGTTTTAAGTTTTATACTCTTTGGTTACATAATGTATTGTTGGTATTACTATTTTGAAATATTTCATTTATAATTTTGATAGGAAGAGTAGCAGTAGTAAAAAGAAAAAGCACAGTAGAAGCCGGAGCAGAAGCAGAGGAAGACGAAGTAGAAGTCGCAGTCATGGTAGAAGAAGTAGAAGCAGAGGACGAACTAATCGAAACCGGCGAAGTAGAAGCAGAGGTAGACGTAGTCGCAGTAGAGGGCGAAGAAGTAGTAGAAGTAGAGAAAGACGAAGGCACAGTCGCAGTCATAGCAGAACTAGAGATAGAAGACGTAGCAGGTTCATTATTAATTTTGTTATTTATTACAGATATAATTTAAAATTACATACATGCTAAATAGCATTTTAATTTTATACTTGCTTTAACCTTGGGATCCATGGGTATTTCTAACCATCAAGTTCTCTCAAACACATCATGATAGATAAAATATTTGATTCCTTGAGTTGAGATTTAAGACGGTTTTAATGTTTAAAAAATTGATTTTCTCAAATGATTTGGATTTTTCAGGCAGTGTTAGCAAAGCCTCTTTTATGTGGCTTACAGAATTGTGTTCATTCTCAAAATCTGTTTGATCAGTTTTAATTAAACTTTGCCATTTTTCATTAATTGTGATGAGGAATCCAAAAATATAATAAAACTGGGGATTCATGACTTAGTTTTTGAGATATTAGGTCATAACACGAATGCACTCGACAAAGCAATATCACACAATGTTCCATGGTTGCTAACATGTCTTTTAAGGTCTTATAGAATTGAGTTTATTCTCAAAATTTAATAGCCTAATTTTGATAAATGTTGCCATTTTCCATTAATTGCAATGAGGAACCAAAAATGCAATGAGAGGTCATTTAAATGTAAAAAGTGGGAGTCCTTGACTTTGTTTTCAATATACAGAGGTAGGCCTGTTAAACTATTAGTGAGAATGTCTATGCTCTCTAATGTGACTCAACATGCCTAATGAAATTTAGGCCTAGGGGTCAAAAATAAAAACAGCATTGCATGTGCCTAATGGAAAATAGGTGCAAAAAATGAACAAAACAAAAGAATTGCAAATGCTTTGTTCTTGGATCATCTCTTAGTGTTGGCAAATGTCTCTCATGTCTGACTGATACAAGGAATTGCCTCTTCTGTACTTAACAAGTGCAGGGATCACTTCTTTCTTTCTGGCTTTGCCTCAATTCTATCATGATACGATAAAGTTGCATGATGTTCTTGTTATAAATTAAATTTTTTAAATTTTTATTTTATTGCTTCAAAAGCAACTAATTATATAGATTAGAAGTTTTCTATTTTTTGTGTATCTTTCACTTATGTATGTTTTCACTGATTATATTATATGTTTATAGGAGTCGAAGTAGAGACCGTCGTCATGCTAGTAGAGAAAGAAGGCGAAGCAGATCACGGTCTCCAAGGAGAGATTACAGGAGGTAAATAATTTGTAATTTTTTTAAAAAATACAGTAGAGCATCAATTATTCGAATATTGATCAACCAAAACATTGGTTTACTGAAAGCATTCCAATTGGCAAATTCAAATTTCTGCTAGTTCTGTGGCACTGCAGCACTCCTTTTCCCTGCCAACCTAAACTGTAGGCCTGCTTTAATGTACTACTTTATGTAAGGTATGTATTTGTAAGATATGTAATACAAAATATATACAGTACAGTTTTGTGTTAAATATATTTTTTCGTAAATTATCAGTTATCCCAGTGTTTTTCAACCTTTTTCATTGATTGGCACACCTAATTGAAAAGTAACAAATCATGACACCCTTGACCAGCGGCGGATCTAGAATCTGAATAAGGGGGGGACGACTAATGGGCCAGATGAATTTTTGCGAAAACGAATATTACGCACAATGCAAAAGTGTTTCTATGTGTTCAAAATCAAAATTTAAGTTCATTGAATTTTATCGAAATACCTACATGTAAAATAATAGTCTTGCTATTGTTTTTTAAATATACTGATAGTTTTATTATCAAATATATCATCATTTTATATTATCATTTTATTGATAAACAATTTTTCTTAAGTTTTTTATACTATTTTAAGGCATATATAAAGTAAATATTTCCTTACTTTTTTCTTATCCTTTTCATATCAAATTTAAAAAATTAAATTAAAAGAATGATAAAAATTGTTTATTTGTCATTATTGCTTTTGAATACTATAAAAATACTGTAATATGCACCTACTTTGTGATTGAAACCACATGCTTTTCAAAGTACAATGCAACGCTTTTTAAAGTATATACAAGACACAAGAAGAACGACATGGACATAAGTGTCCACATCGTTCTTCTCTGGTGGTTGGCCTGGTACTGGGACTGGGAACATGAAGGCCAAGCAATGTGGTTTGGGCAAACTCGTGACGAGTCGTGCGTACATGTAGCGTAGAACATTACATTAACATGCGATTAGTCATAGTTTATTTGCATACTAGATATCTCATAGCAAAATAGAACTGACAATGAGTTATCTTGAACTACACTTAAGTAAATTTCCAAGAAAATTCCTAAAGGCTCTAAACTTTGCAACACCCCAATCGTGGCGCCGTGGCACCCCGGTTGAAAAACACTGAGTTATCTGTACAACTCCAGTCCCAAATTGTTTTGGTTAATCGATGCTCTACTGTACTACATTGTTCAAGCAATTTAGTTTTATTAGATTTTGGCTTGTTTTATTTGGCTTTGGCTTACCTTGTTTTATTAATAGATAAAATATTCTATGTAGTTATTTTGAGCAGTTTGAATTTGGATTAATTCTCTATATTTATGGATTCATATTTTTTTAAATTGGAAAAAGATTTTGGATTAAAATGCTGCTTGTCTTCTGTTGAGTGTTAATTTATGAAATAAACATTTATTCTTTGTTCTTAAAATGTTCAGAATTACTTTTGTGTGAATTTATTTATCTTGCAGAATTTAAATATAAGTTGTTTTATACATTATTTTCAGATATGTTTTATCAAAAATTTATTAATATAGATGTTTGTTTTATCTCTCTTAGAATTAGGACAGTTGTTATATTATATTTTAAAGCTATAGTTTTGTAGCTATTTGTCAGATATCTGACAAATGGCTACAAAAGTATATTTTTTCAGAAGTTTGAAAAGTTTATTAATAAAGATAAAATTTCTTTGGGTTCTATTTTATTGCGGCTTAATGAAATATATTTACACTATGTAATGTAAATTAGAAATAATTTTAACATTTCTTTTGAATTAGATTGATAACTGTGAGAACGCTTGTAGGCATTTATTGGGGTATATTAGTTTTCATTTATCTGTACTCTGATAAGAGATCAACTTTATTTCTTCCTCACTCTTTTCTCCAATTCGGACATGTCTAGGATATGTTAAGTATAATAGTTTAATTCATTCCTAGTCATGATGTGGAATGTGCATTACCACTTTGGTTCATGTGATTTTGGGAAAGCTAGAAGCAGTGTGCCTTGCACTAAATGATATATTATAATTGTTACTGAATTCATAGGACTACAGCATGCATATAAGAGCATCTTAACACATTTTATATTTGCTAAATGCTAGGCAACATTTTGTGAATATTAAATAGTGTGGATTATTTACTTGTGACAAATATTTGATATTTGCTGTTTTCCAATCCTTGTTGGCAAATTATGCTGAATCAAGAGAGATGAATATTTGCCTTTACAAATTTGTGCTTGTATTCATGTATTTTCTTGGTTTTTAGTCATTATTTTCAAAATGGAATGATGTAATGATATTGTAGTCAAAGTGGAAAATATTCTATCACTGAAGTAAAGGAGAAAAAAGACTAATAGAATTGTTTAGAATGTGTTATAGCAAAGTAAAGGATAAAGTATTAAAAGTGGGGTACAGACAGATGAAATATATAAGCAAAACTGGCTTGCTTATTTTTCATTAACAGATATGAACTATGATTTTAAAAGTAGTGGCCTAAATTATTGTTTGAGAATTGTCCATTTTCTAGATCTTGGACAAACATCATTCCCACAACAAACTGATGCTCAACAAATAATCATACTGATATGTATGTACAGTAGAGCGTCGATTTTCCGAAAGTCAATCATCCGAAACGTCAATCATCCGAAAGAATTCCAGTCGGCAAATTTAAATTTTCGCCAGTGCTGTGGCGCTTCAATCTTCGGCTATGTCTTGGGCTACTCAAATATTTTACGTTTTTGATACTAAATTAACATCTGAAGTATAATTTTTTATTATTTTTATATTTTTCAATATATTTATTTTGTTTGTACAAAATAAAAAAATAATTTTTAACGATACAATAGTCTTTGTTAGGCTTAACATCGACGAAAATTCAACGCGAAGCGACACGCAACGGA